TTTCCTTCCTTCCTTCCTTCCTTCCTTCCTTCCTTCCTTCCTTCCTTCCTTCCTTCCTTCCTTCCTTTGCCAGGCTTATGGAAAATGCTGGAGGTGGGGCTTTCCTGCTTAGGCAATGTTTAGTCTACAAATTCATTGTAGAAAAACCTGAAAATCCAGATTGGCAAAACAAAACACACCATGAATACTTGTCTTCTGTGAGTGTACCATCAGAAAACCAATGACAACACTTTTCCACTGCCTACATATACAAGTAACTGCCAACTGTGTCTCCTACAGCTTCGTCATAGAGCCTACACTCTATTCAACTTGCTTTTTTCATGTAGCTAAATAGCAGAATATCTTTCCATACCAAATATGAATTATGATATAACATTGAATAGCTGCATACATTTCATTGTATAGATGTATCATTTATTTATAGCAATCAATTATTATTAGTCTATTATTATTTGCTATTGAAAATCATGTGGTGACAAACATCTTCGTATCAACCTCTTCACTCGTGTCTGATTATTTCCTTAGAAAATAAAATCTAGCCCATTCCACCTATAATCAATCTTTCTCCAATACCTAATTGGCAAAGTAATATGTGGCTGGGTAACAATCCATGCAATTTCAATACCTTGATACATTCTCTGTGATGGATCTGAATTAAAGGTAGAGGGCAGTGCATAATAACAAACAATTTAATGACATCTTGAGTACTGCTGATAGCCATATATTGTTAAGATACAAATTTTAAAGAAATCGTGTTCCAGTTTATAGGCTAAAAAGTCCTTAAAGTGTTCAAGAATAAATAAAATACCAAGTTTTTCTGATGTGATAAACAACTTTCAGAAAACCTTATTTTTTTTAAAGATTATTTATGTATTTATTTGACAGAGAGAGACAGCACGAGCAGGCAGAGTGGCAGGCAGAGGGAGAAGCAGGCTTCCTGCTGAGCAGGGAGCCCGATGCGGACTCGATCCCAGGACCCTGGGACCATGACCTGAGCCGAAGGCAGATGCTTAACCGATGAGCCACCCAGGCGCCCCTCAGAAAAATTTTAAAATGTAAAGGCTACTTTATGCAAAATCATTAAATTGACCAAACGGAAAGGACACTGAAAATAACTATAAAAAAGAGCAAATTGAAAAAGAAAACACCAGAAGGTGTTGGCCTATAGGCAAAGTGGTTTTTTTTTTTTAAGATTTTATTTATTTGAGAGAGAGAAAGTGAGTGGGGGGGTGAGGGGCAGAGGGAGAGAAACTTCAAGCAGACTCCCTGCTGAGCCCAGAGCCCCCCAGACTGTCTTGGGGCTCTAACAAATGACCCATGATAACATGACCTGAGCCAAAACCAAGAGTCGCACGCTCAATGGACTACACTACCCAGGCGCCCCAAAGTGGTTTTAAGCAGACAGACTTTCATCTGTAAAGTGATCATAGGGAAGTACATATTGTTTCACTTAAAAAGGCTGCCTTCTCTGATCCCCTGACCGCAGTGAATTGCACCAACTTGCCCACAGCACACATAGGAGGGGCTTCAGAAGCTCTGTCCTCATTCTGACTAATATGGAATGACACCAGTGCATGGCTGCACCCCTCCAGATAGGGCAGCTTGCTGAGGGCACAGGGGGATGTGTTTGCCAGCTCTGTCTGTTCTGCTGTGTGCTTCATGGTGACAGGTACACAACGAATGGATGGAGAGATGAATGAACGAGCTAAGATTGTGAAAGTGACAAAAACAAAATGAACTCCCATTAAGAAAGTTAAGTTCTTCAAACTTGAAAATAAGACAAAACGTAGCTTGAAGACCGGCATTGTGATGCCACCAGCTTTGGTTTTCTTTTGCAACATTCCTCTGGCTATTCAGGGTCTTTTCTGGTTCCATATAAATTTTAGGATTATTTGTTCCAGCTCTGTGAAAAACATTGATGGTATTTTGATAGGGATTGCACTGAATGTGTAGATTGCTCTGGGTAGCATAGACATTTTCACAATGTCTATTCTTCCAGTCCATGAGCACGGAACGTTTTTCCATTTCTTTGTGTCTTCCTCAATTTCTTTCATAAGCGTTCTGTAGCTTTTAGAATACAGATCCTTTACCTCTTTGGTTAGGTTTATTCCTAAGTATCTTATGGTTTTGGGTGGAATTGTAAATGGGATCAATTCCTTAATTTCTCTTTCTTCTGTCTCAGTGTACAGAAATGCAACTGATTTCTGCATATTGATTTTATATCCTGCCACTTTGCTGAATTCCTATATAAGTTCTAGCAATTTTGGGGTGGAGTCTTTTGGATTTTCCACATAAAGTATCATGTCATCTGTGAAGAGTAAGAGTTTGACTACTTCTTTGCCAATTTGAATGTCTCTTATTTTTTCTGTTGTCTGATTGCTGAGGTTAGGACTCCTAGTACTATGTTGAACAAGAGTGGTGAGGGTGAGCATCCCTGTCGTGTTCCTGACCTCAGGGAAAAAGGTCTCAATTTTTCCCCATTGAGAATGATATTCACTGTGGGCTTTTTGTATACTGCTTTTATGATATTGAGGTATGTTCCCTCTATCCCTATACTGTGGAGAGTTTTAATCAAGAAAGGATGTTTATAGCAGCAACGTCCACAATAGCCAGACTATTGAAAGAGCCAAGATGTCCATCGACAGATGAATGGATAAAGAAGATATGGTATATATATACAATGGAATACTACTCAGCCATCAGAAAGGATGAATACTTACCACTTACATCAATGTGGATGGAACTGGAGGGTATTATGTTGAGCAAAATAAGTCAATCAGAGAAAGACAATTATCATATGGTTTCACTCATATGTGGGATATAAGAAACAGTGCAGAGGATCATAGGGGAAGGGAGAGAAAATGGAATGGAAAGAAATCAGAGAGGGAGGGGCGCCTGGGTGGCTCAGTCGTTAAGCGTCTGCCTTCGGCTCAGGTCACGGTCCTAGGGTCCTGGGATCGAGCCCCACATCGGGCTCCCTGCTCAGCGGGAAGCCTGCTTCTCCCTCTCCCACTCTCCCTGCTGGTGTTCCCTCTCTCACTGTGTCTCTCACTGTGTCTCTCTCTGTCAAATAAATAAATTCTTTAAAAAAAAAGAAAAGAAAAGAAATCAGAGAGGGAGATAAACTATGAAAGACTCTTGACTCTGGGAAACAAACAGGATTGATGGAGGGGAGGTAGGTGGGGGGATGGGGTAATTGGGTGATGGGCATTAAGGAGTGATACGATGAGCACTGGATGTTATATGCAACTGATGAATTATTGAACTCTACATCTGAAATTTAGATGCACTATATGTTGGCTAGTTGAATTTAAATTAAAAAAAGAAAAGAAAACGGTGACCACAGGTGCTTTCAATGTCACACTAGAGCTTGGTCAAACAGGCCCCACCAGCAATTACTCAATTCTTTAGGAAATAGATGCCTTTGGCTTTTTGATGACTGTGGATTAGACACCAGACTCTATGAAGTTAGATGTGAACTAAGAAGAGATTGACTGATAAATTGCAAATCATTTCGCCTGATATAAAAGATAGCCTCAAATGGTACAGTTTTATTGCTTTGCAATTCATTAAGCAGGTTTCTTTTTTTAATCTAAGTCAGCCAACCCATTCCACCATTTCTTTTGAATCACGTCTTTTGAATCAGCTTTATCGTCCTGCTGGTTCCTTCATTTATTAATAATGATAAATCTTTGGCACGTGCTCACTCTGTGTTTATGTAAGAGTTGTGTTTTGGACTTTTTTGAAAATTAAACTGATACTACCTAAGATAATGTTATTTTGTCACAAGTCATACATCATATGTGGTGGTTTTAAAATCTATCCTAAGAGGTGAAGCTTATTTTCCTTTGAGTGTGGCTGGACTTAGTGGCTTGCTTCTAAAGAATTTATTACCTGGTGGAAGTGGCAGGGTGCCACATCTGAGGCTAGATCACAAATGGCATTGGAGCTTCTTCCTGATCTCTCTTGGCTCTCTCCCCTTGGGGAAACCAGCTGCCATGTCAGGAGGACACTTGAGCAGCCTATGGAGAGGCCTGCGTGGTGGGACCTGAGGCCTCCTGACAACAGCTCCATGTGAGCAATCTTAGAAATAGGGGCCCTACAGCCACACTCCAGCCTTCAGATGAGGAAGCCCTGTTGACATCTTGACTGCGATTTCACGAGAAGCCCTAAGCCAGACCACACAGTTCATGCCACTTTTCTGGTTCCTCATTCTGAGAAGCTGTGTAAAATTATAATGCTTGCTGTTTTAAGCAGCTGCTAAGTCTTGGAATAATTTGTTACATAGCAACAGGTAACTAATACACTTTGCCATCACCATGGGCAGTTTCTACTCCTGTTCTCTTTTCATTCTCCTCAGTCCTCAGTGGGTATCCTCCCTTCTTAGGAAACATCTCAATTCTTCATGGACTTCATATGACCATAGAGGTTGTCCCAGAAACTGTGCCAGTCTGCAAAGGGGTAACACTCCCCATGGTGCTTCTCACCAGTGCCCTGGAGGTGGGGGTGGCTCCTGCTCTTGCTGA